TGTTGGAGAGGACGTGGAGACATTGGACCTCTTATACACTGTTGATGGGAATGTAAAATGGTACAACCACTCTGGAAGGCAGTTTGGCATTTCCTCAAACAGCTGAACATACAAATCCCCTACAACCCAGCTCTTCCACTGCTGAAAATACCCCAAAGAAAACAGAACTGAGGCACATAGATTTGTACACAAATGTTCATAGCAACATTATTCAAAACAGAAAGAAAATTAAAACAGTCCAAATGCCCATCAATAAATGTATGGATTTAGAAATGGTGGTACTTTTTACATGATGGAATACTATGTAGCACTAAGGAACAATGATTTTGTAAAATACTGTAAAATATGGGAGAGTCTAGGAAACATTTTACTGAGTGAACTAACTCAGTCTCATACAGACAAATACTGCATAAGGGCAAATATTACATTGTAAAAATAGAAGGATAACTAGTAAGATGTGTATAAAAGTCCAAAAAGGGAAAAGGTGGGTGTTGGAGTTTGAAGAAAGTGTGAAATCACTGAGATGGAAGAGTATTGTGGGCAGAGAGAGGGGAACAGGAATCCGAAAGATCCAAAGGGGACCGGAAAAGATGGAGTAACCGCGAACACAGGTCAATGGGGATTAATTTTATAAACCCCAAAGTATAGGAATGATATTATAAAATACATGTAAATAGATGAATGTGTGAAGCTTAATGTATATAAACAAATCACAATGTATATGAATAATGTGTGCAAACCAATCCAAAATAAAAATAATCTTTAAAAAACAGCACTATGTATAGGAATAAACACATGAAGCACATGTGAATGAAGGAATGTGTGAAGCACAATGAAAGCACATGAATGACACACAACGTATACAAATTTTATACGCAAACCAATACCATAAAGACCTTTTTAAAAAGTTATTGTGGGAGAGATTTGCCTTAGTAATAAGTTACAAAGAACTATAAGTGAGAGTATACTAGAGCTCAGAAACAATAATGACGAAGAGAGAGAAGAGGAGAAAGAGATAGTTGGAAATGTGTACAACACTCAAAATTGTACTCTATGAAAGAGAAAAGAAACAACCAAATAGTAAACATGGAAAGATTAGCTAATAAACGTGCAGTGTTACTTTTCAAGTCTGTTTAGGATTGAATGACCATTGAGTAAAGCCCGTGGTATGAAAACTGACACGTGAGAGATGCTGAAAAGCCTTCTTCAATCAACTGCTCCAGTGACCCCTGCCCTCTCTCGGAATAGCACCGTGAAGTTCACGTACACCCAGAGATGAAGCAACTCCCTGTTGTCTCACTGCTGTTATTCCTAAGTGACAACCAGTCAGCTCCGACCCATAGCAACCTCCCTACAGGAAAAAAAATGTCCAAGATTCAAGTCTGAGCTATCCTTCAAATCTTTGCTGTGCTTAAACCCCTTGTTACACACATGAGTGGCATTATCTCATCAAGGATCTTCATCTTTTCACTGACCCCCTTACTCCTTAGTCTTACAGCATTTGCTCGATGCTTCCAAAGTTCAATAACAAATGTAAAGTCCTGACTCACAATTATGCAGATTCAAACCACACAGGCTCTGAAAGCATGTATGTTGCAGCTTCCTGCTGCCTGGCTAACTTGCATTCTCTCTTCAGGCTCTTTTCTTCAGCCACTGCAAATTCATTTCACATTGTTACATTTCCCAGCAAGGCAATTTAAATTTCTTGTGAAGATAAGGATCCATAACCTTTAGGAAACAAGTCTTATTGCAACTATCTGACATTCTAGAAAAGGTAAAATTATAATAGCAGTTTAAAAAAGATTAGGAACTACTAGCCATTGGGGGAGGGGGAATATGGGCAGTCTCCTCCTGTGCAATTTACAGCCTCAGAAACCTGCTGGAGGGTCAGCTGGGAGTCCCAGCTCCATGGCAGTGAGGACAGGAGAGGATGAACAGGTGGAACAGAGGACTGTTTGTTGTTGTTGTTGTTATGTGCTGTCGAGTCATTTGCGACTCATAGCGAC